TGGGTGACAGAGTGAGACTGTCTTAAAAGAAAAAAAAAAGAAAGAAAAGAAACAAAGGATTTGGGCTAATCAATCTCTATGAGACTTCTTAGCTCTAGCAGTCTGATTTGAGGTTTCAGAAACAGGGAGGAGGGGTAGCAGCATGGGGGTTGGTGGAGAGAGAAGAGGAGAAACAGGAGCTGGCCAGGGCTCCATAGACAAAAAGTCTGCAAGTTTAGACTGTGGATGCTATCTCCAAATAGGATTATGCTCAGTCACAGGATGCAGACCATTGAACTAAACAGAGATGGTTGGCCCTATCACCAAAACACACCATCTGTAAGGCCCATACAATTTTATATATATATATATATATATGTGTATATATATATATATATATATATGCATATTTACATAAAGTTACCAAATAAACTTCTGAATTTTGGGGGTTTATTTTGTTTTCTTTCTTTTTTTTCTTGAGACGGAATCTTGCTGCCACCCAGGCTGGAGTGCAGTGGCACAATCTCAGCTCACTGCAACCTCTGCCTCCCCGGTTCTCCTGCCTCGCCTCCCGAGTAGTTGGAATTACAGGCATCCACCACCACACCTGGCTGATTTTTGTATTTTTAGTAGAAATGGGGTTTTACCATGTTGGCCAGGCTGGTCTCGAACTCCTGACCTCAGGTGACCCGCCTGCCACAGCCTAACTTCTGAATTTTGGAATTAACTTTATATTTACAGAAAAGTTGCAAAGACAGTACAGAGAGTTCCTGAGTATCCATCTTCCAGTTTCAGTTTCCCCTAATGTTATCATCTTACACCAACCTGGTACATTTGTCAAAACTCAAAAATCCCACATTGGTCCATCATTAGTAACGTAACTGCAGACCTTTTTTGGATTTCACCAGCCTGTCTGTTCCTGCTCTCTCTGCTCCATGACATAACCTAGGGCAGCCTCCTGCATCTAGGCAGCATGTCTCCCGTGTCCTCTGGTCCATGGCTGTTGCTGTCTTTCTGTGCTTTTGGTTTTGACTTTTTTCTTTTTCACAATGCTTTAATTATTTCTGTGCTTCTTACTATCTTGACAGTTTTTAGGGGTCCTAGTCAGGTATTTTGCAGAACCTCCTTTAATTTGGGTTTGTCTGATCTTTTTTGGGGGGTTATAGGGTTTTAGAAAGACTACCACAGAGGTGAAGTACCCTTCTGGTCATATAACATGGTGTGGGGGGGGGCAGGAGTAGCTACACGATAGCCACTAGACTTATCACTGGTCATGTTAACCTTGAGCCCTTGGTTAAAGTGGTGTCTGCAGGTTTCTCCATGGTATAGTTACTATTCTTCTCTTTCCCTACTCTATTATTTAAAAGCAAGTCCTGAGTCCAGTGTACAGGAAAGGGAAGGCAAAGGAATAGCGAAGGCTCCACCTCCTAGAGAAAGAATCTACATTCATTATTGGAAATTCTTCTGTAAGGAAGATTTGTCTCCTCTCCCCCAGTTGGTTATTGATTCAACAATTTATTTACATCAGGACTGGGTGTGGTGGGTCATGCCTGTAATCCTAGCACTTTGGGAGGCCAAGGCAGGCAGGTCACAAGGTAAGGAATTTGAGACCAGCCTGACCAACATGGCGAAACCCCGTCCCTACTAAAAATACAAAAATTAGCCAGGCATGGTGGCACATGCCTGTAATCCCAGCTACTCAGGAGGCTGAGGCAGGAGAATTGCTTGAACCCAGGAGGTGAAGGTTGCAGTGAGCCAAGATCGCACCACTGCACTCCAGTCTGGGCAAAAAAAGAAAAACTCCGTCTAAAAAAAAAAAAAAAAAACAACGAAGAACTTTAAGACTATTCGGATTTGTAGAATGGGCGTGGTGGCTCAAGCCTGTAATCCCAGCACTTTGGGAGGCCAAGGCTTGTGGATCACCTGAGATCAGAAGTTTGAGACCAGCCTGGCCAATATGGTGAAACCCCATCTGTACCAAATATAAACAAAATTAGCCGAGCATGGTGGTGCATCTGTAGTTCCAGCTACTCGGGGGGCTGAGGCATGAGAATCGCTTAAGCCTGGGAGGTGGAGGTTGCAGTGAGCTGAGATCACACCATTGCACTCCAGCCTGGGCAACAAGAGTGAAACTCTGTCTCAAAAAACAGAAAAGAAAGGCCGGGCGCGGTGGCTCAAGCCTGTAATCCCAGCACTTTGGGAGGCCGAGGTGGGTGGATCACGAGGTCAAGAGATCGAGACCATCCTGGTC